GTGGGGGCGCCAGAGCTTGTCGAGGGATGGGGAGGGGGAACGTCGGCAACGTCGGCTTGGAGCTAATCTCCCAGAGACTACCGATCAGCCTGGTTGACAGCATCGCACCCACTGGTCATCTTTGATACACAGCACCTCGCAAAACTTGCCCTCGTCGACGTCTGTGTCGCTTCTCAGCTTTTGCAATCGCCTTTCCACAGCACCTCTGACTCCTCCCTTGGCGACTACCCTCCCGATGCCGATGTAAGAAACGTCCAAGTCGTTCTTCTCGGATATCGCAAAGGCCACAATACCCCCTTCGGGGACGTCGGGGATGTACCACAGTCGGGAGAGGTTTCTGAGAGCGGGAACGAACAACGGAGCGCCGGTCAACAAGGGCGGAGGGATAGGGTGGTGGATTTGCAAGATGGGCAGAGGTGGGTGAGGTAGCGGTAGCGATAGCAGTGACACTGGGGGTTAGACTCCTCCTCCATGGGTTCATTAACAGCGCACAGGTGGGGATGTACTCCTTCGAGTTGCGACCAAACGTCATCCACAGCGGGTCACCTTCCTGGTCAAAGTACATGGTCTGGCGTATCAGCTACATCCCCCTCGCAAGCTGCCCGAAGCCGAAAACTCGCCCCTTCAATCCCCGCACTCGTTTCAAAGCTCCCCATGCGCACACCCTCGGGCACGAGCACCTTGCCAAGCTCCTTCTCACTCGGCCCGTCATCGGCAACGCCTGGCTCGAGACAAGAGGGGTACTGAGCAAGCACTGCAGCGATGAGCTGTCTGCGAGCCGACGACCGTATTGGCGTGGCGTTGGACTGATGCGCCAGTGCCTTTTTGAACATGATACGAAGCAAAGGCGAAGATATTGGAACAGACATGAAAGATGGCATAGGGAGGCTCTAGGGGCATCGGTCGGACGCCTACTTGAAGTTTGTCTCAATCCCAAAATATCAACAACCACTGGTTCCTTAGCTCAGCTGGTTAGAGTATTGTACTAATATTACGATTCAGTATTGGTCATGCAATGGTCGGCGGTTCGAGCCCGCCAGGAATCATTTCTTTTGCTTCGCGTTGCTTTTTTTTTGCCCTCGTGTTGTTTTTGAACGTCGCTCCCTCTTGCAGCTCTGCAGAGTCTTCTCCAGCCTCCTCGGCGACCCGCCCATGCTCCAGGGTGTCTGAGGGCTGCCGAATGTATCCCCTGGCCCACAGAGCTGGGTCGGCGCGATAGCATATGGCCCCCGTTATCTGGCTTTACGCGTTAGACCCATGCTTTGGCATTTTGGATCTCATAGGTCGTGCTGCGTTCGCACATATGGTGCTACGATACACCTCGGCCACTCGATCGCAAACCCCAGCCCTCATGTGCATCTCAGGGGTAGACAACACAGACGTAGCCCCGCGAAAAGGCCAACTTTCGTGGTTGTTTATCCTGTCGCGTGAGGTGGAACAAGAGAGTTGAAAGAACATCTACGCTGTAAACACTCGTCGCTCCGGAGAGTCCACCCCGCTTCAAGGCCATCGCTCATCGAGGTCGTCTCCACATGCACGATGGCCCTAAACTTTCGACACAGACGAACCACGGCAAGGCGTAACTCGCCTCCTTCGCTCACCGCGTCGAACATGATGATATCCGAGACGGCAACAGTCCCAAGAGGCTCCGGGGAGGGGGTATCGAGCGACGGGTACTCGAGCTTGGTAGGTTGGTAGAGGTAGAATCGACCCGCTGACAGGAGTTCACCTCGGGACTCTTGCAACGAGATGTGGACCGTGATTCTCCTGTACCTTCATTCCTTCCCCGTCCTGCAGCCAACCGTGACCCAGAGTGTGCGAGAAGCTCGCCGCCGAAACGGCTGGGACCGTCTACATCCCCACTGAAGACACCGTCTCGACGCCGAAGGTCTTCGATCATACACACTACTCCCTCGTCCACCTCTCCTCGAGTGTACAAGCATGCAGGCGCCGATGGCGGGGTGGAGAGGGCTCTCGACAACTTAATGAAGAGCCTCCGGATCATGGCGATGGGCACGCCCCGACAAGATGTCCCAAGTCCACAGCGACAGCAGTCACGCTGGTCCCTGTCCTCGGAAGAAAGCATAGCGGAAACAGAGGAAAGCGGGTTTTGGCGGCCCAGAAAGTCGGGCGAGAGCACTCGGTCCAGAGCTACCATTGGCACGACTCGCAGTCAGAAGAGCTCGAAAAGTAGGAAGAGTAGGAAGAGCGAGGACACGTATAGGATGGAGATCGAGGAGGATATACCGCCTGTGCCGGTCACGCCTGCTACGCCTGGACGAAGGAAACGGATGATGGAAGGGCTGGCGAAACGATTGGGCCTGACCCCGCGGAAAAAGTATGACATCTCTCATCACCTCGTACCAGAGCTGACTGGCAGATTCACCCTGCCCTCGCCGCCTCCTGAGCGCGAGGTTCCAACCACGACGAAACTCCCTCGAAAGTCGTCCCTCTCCACCCTTCGCTCCGTCATGACCAGAAAGTCGTCGACTGGCACGCTGCGCTCAGTGGGCACGATCAAGTCGCCTCATCCATTCGTGGGCACCGGCCCGACCCTCGATTGCGAGGCGTACCCGCCGGTCCCCGCTCGAAAGGAAGGGTACCACGGGGACGGCTGTCTTCCTTCCACACCGCGCCGACGTACCCCAAAGAGCAGTATCGGTCAGCCTCGTCTGCAGCCCAACACATCGCCAAGTGTCTTTCTCGCAGAACTGCCTCGTCGCGCCCCGGGCACACCGAAAGAACGGGCGCGAAACCCCCCGCCGGTGCCCGACATTCTCGATCAGCTCGGATACTTTGCGCCACTTTCACCGTCAGACGCAGATTGGGCTCCTTGCCCGGAGGAGATCCCACTCCATGAAAAGCTACGCCGAGCTGAAGAAGCGTCGAGAGACTCGATGCCAGAATTGTCGCCCCATACTCGTTCGTTCGACACGCCGACGACAGACACCTCGTCTTTGGTTGCTACCCCCATGTCAGTCGACACCAATTATTCTGCTGTTGACACGTTCAACACCCCTCCCCTGACGACTCGAGCTGCGCAGGACGCGCTCAAGCCGAAGAGGTTGCTCAATCTGCTCCCAAAGCAGTCCCGCGTGAACCTCGGGCTACCCACGCCACCTCCAACCGACCTGCGAAAGAAGAAATCGACAACGACGTTTCGTACACCCCTGGGGGACAGGACCAACCTCCCGCCTCATCTCCAAGGAGTCGGCACGCCGCAGAGTATCGCGTCGGTCCTTGCCAATGCCGATCGTCGGTTTGCTGCGGAAAACGACTCGCCGAGCGTGGCAAAAGTAGGCCGAACGGCTCGACGAGATCCATTAGGTATTATTAGTCGTTTCGAAGAGCCAAAGTCGTCTCCAGAGTCTCCACAATTGCCGTATAACGGTGGGGGCGGAGACGGCTGGGGTACTCCAGCTGTCGGTGCGGGTGCAGAGAACCGCTTCGAGTCGACATTCAGCAAAGCTCTGCAGAGCTCGGGTCGCCGGTCTGCCGTACCAGACTTTACCGCTTCGCCAATTCACTCGCTCGCCTCGTCCCTGTCAAGCAACAGCCATAGACGGAGCGATGCTAGCATGGAGAGTGACTTGCCCACCGAGGAGTGGGAGCTGGAGGCGTATCTGAAAGAGTTGGAACGAGTCGATCGGGAGCGAGCTATAGTTGGGTAATGTGAACACCACCTTGGATAGGTGCTTGCGTAATTCGTTGTACATGGTATCATATGCATGACCGAGTGGACTTTGAGGCGCTTCATTGCCCAGCCGTCACATGGGAGAAGAAGGGCTCACAAGGGCAGGGCTTGAGCGAGATCCAGAGTTTCTACCCATTGCGTAAACTAAAGTCTCCAAGCCGCGAGCTTCATCGAGAGGGAGAGGGGAAGAACACCGACATGCGATCTGTTCGTCCAACGGCGTCCATCGATCATAAACTTGCCGTTGACGTCGTCGAGCTCCAAGCGGGAAAGGCAAAAAGATCCGAATGCGACGAGTGCAAAAGGTAATGATTCCTGGCGGGCTCGAACCGCCGACCATTGCATGACCAATACTGAATCGTAATATTAGTACAATACTCTAACCAGCTGAGCTAAGGAACCAGCTTGTTTCATGTTTCGGGTTTTTGCTGGTTGGATATCAAGGAAGCGCAGTGGAGTATGATCGATACCTTGCCTGTGGTCCTGTAGTGCATTCACCTGCGTTAACCCGCTGCCATGTAGTCTTGACAGATAGCACCTAGCTCCTGGCTTCTTGGACCTCGACGCGGTGTTGCACAACTTGACGCGATCACAGATCGGGCCGTCGATAAGTTGACATGTGACGCGGAAGTCGCGCTGCAACCACCGGCCTTTGGCGCCGGGGATGTTAAGACTCTTCTCCCAGCCAGAAGGATGAAACCCCCCCTCGCTTGGCGCCGGTCATACGAACCAGCCCTAGGTAAGGTCTGCTGCCTGCAAGACTCCCTCCAACCGCGGGCACGACCCTACACCCGGGCAGGCCCGGAAGATAGGAGAGGACGCGCGGGGGCCTTGGCTCTCATACCTGCCGCCTACTATTGCGGCTATGAGTATCCACAGATGCCGTGGAGAGTGGTACAGCCACGCCCGGATGCAGCCCCCGGATGAGCTTCGCGCCCCTCAAGAGGAAGTTTCGCACCTCTCGAGATGCAGCTGCATAATCCACAAATTATGGTGCAAGGACTGTCTGCTTATGAGTCCCAGCAATTTTTCGAAAACCATGAACAACCAGTGGTTCCTTAGCTCAGCTGGTTAGAGTATTGTACTAATATTACGATTCAGTATTGGTCATGCAATGGTCGGCGGTTCGAGCCCGCCAGGAATCATTTATCTTTTGCTCCCCGCTGCTTTTGCTCTCTTCAGCGTGTTTTCCCAAACCCTTTCCCTTGATGCCGTGCTGGTACCAGGGGAAGGAGCAGACTCATCCAGGGACGAGGCAGACGCAACATGGTCTGCCGGAGCGCAGCGATTTTCATCAGTCCCAGTTGGTTCCTTAGCTCAGCTGGTTAGAGTATTGTACTAATATTAAGAATCAGTATTGGTCATGCAATGGTCGGCGGTTCGAGCCCGCCAGGAATCATATCTTTTGCTCGTTCCGAGCGTGGATCATTTTTTTTCCTGCACGTCGCCCTTCGGTCTCTGTCTTGTCAAACGGTGTTGGGGGTGCCCGCCCGGTGCAGAATGTTATGGACCCCGACGTCGAGTGTCCGCCTTCCCCACTTGTACGTACCGAATCAGCAAGCAAGGCCGCGGGCGACATGCCGTATGGCCATGACCCATTGGTCGACTTGAGACTGGACAGGCTGGTATCGCAGCGTCGAGCTCTACATTGGTTCCTGGCCCACAGATCCGTTATTTGAACATGGACGGGCCGGGCGTGGATCTTGTGTGCCTCCAATGCTTATATGCAAGCCGAGCGTTAGAACGGCCGATGCGTTGGATAGCTCAGGCACCGATCGCTCTCCGGGTCTGATGGTGAGAATTTTCATGCGACAATTGTGCAACAATTTGAGGACGCGCGTCGTATCATACAAGGCAGAAAGCAAAGGAGATAGCTCAACATCCCGGGCGATGATCTACAAGACTACATTCGTGTGAACACCAGGAGAGCTCGTGTGCACGGGTGCACTGTCAAGTGACAACCCTTGTCACACGATCAGTATCATCTCGGAAACCTATGCCTGGTCCGAAATCAAGCGTGGCCGAGCGGGTCCAGTCTGCACACATCCAGTTGGTCCGATCTATCGGTGCATGAATGTATACGATGAGAGAGATGATATATCTGTCGTCAGTCCTGTGATCCCGCGTTGCGCGACGAAAAAGAGGAGACGGAGGTGAAGAGGTTCAGAAAAAAAGTTTAAGGTAGCGTGGTTTTTTCAGCATCAGACAACTAGCAAGCTAGCGTCGTCAAGCCAAATGCACTCTGGTCATCGTGCGTGAGGGAGAGCGGGGAGAGCGAGCGCTCGAGATGGTGTGAAGGGTAGAGAGGATGCATTGGATGCTCACCTAAACTACGGTACAAAACCATGGCGTATAGTCGACGTCGATCAGAAAGCCCGCCCGCGCCCACGGTGTTCGTCTTACCGCCCGCAAAGGAGCAGCTCGACAAACAGCCGCCAGCTTCTTCGATGATCGTCTTCCGAAGAAAACGCCAAAGTCCTCTGTAAAAGAGCGGGGCGGGAACTAGATCATCCCCTCGACGTGGAAAATGTGGCTAGTGTAGACTAGCAAAAACGAGACGATAACTATACAGAGATCCTGCAGAATATGGTCAAGTGAAGAACTAGAGATGCACAGATCCAGTCTTTTATGGTGCGCGACAGGCCCCCGGAGATTCAGTAAATTTTGGAAAACGCCGCATGTGGCGCCCGGTGACCGCCGCCTTTCTCGCTTCGAGCAGTTTCTTCCCTCGGTAGACAATCTCTTCAGGACACTACCCAGTGCTCACCCTGACAGGTATCGGTCGCTTCACCTGCATGCGAGATTACCCTCATGGGATGTGTTCGCTAGAGCATTTTAGAGCATAGAGCAAACGACCGTGCCGGTTCCATCGCTACGCCTGCCCAGCCAGATTTCCAGCCACACAGCGCCGTCCGGCAGCCAAAAAGAAACGCGTTTGACCCGCTGGGTTGCGAGGCAAAAGGAATGATTTCGCCCGGGCTCGAACCGGGGACCACATGCGCTCACGATCGAACTGATTGTTAAGCATGTGTGATAACCAACTACACCACGAAACCAAGGTGATTTGTTGTTCCTGTCAGTGTCGGTCAGTACATATAGGCGTCGTGCATCATAGGATGATTACTTCTCTCTCCTCCCGGCGGGGTGATTGCCTGAGGATGATCAAGTCGGAGTCTCATCTATCGGGATAGCCATGTCAACATTTTTTCGTGAGATGTCCTTCCCCGATCATAGAGGCATGTTCGGCTGGCGGTAGGTTCTGACTCTGAAAGTAACGCGCCCCCGGTGGCAGGCCCAACCCCGTCATCGTCTGTCTCTTCTCTCCACAACGGCGATCGGGTGATGACCGGTTGGACGCTGTGGTGCTAAGAGCTGGAAGTCTGCGGTCCCAATGAGTGGCACTTGGCAGCACGTGATGAAACTTGACTCAGAGAGGGTATGAGGTGTCGGCGCAACGGCTGTGCTGACCTTCGAAGCTCCGTGCGTTAGGCAGAGTGTGACCAAGTAAACCCGGTCAGGGGGTCATATCTGCTCAGAGCAGACCAGTGAACGATGTCGATAATGACGAGCTCGTTGACCCTAAGCCGAGTCGATGACGTGGCTCGCCGAACAAGAGGGCCAGTCCAGCTCTCGCTCTGAGGACGGAAGAGAAGTGCATCTCAACAAAGCGACCACCCCTGGAGGAGAAATAGGAGCTCCAACTTCGACACACGCCACTTACCCCCTTTCGTACTGATTGTCGTATGACACACCCGGGATGAGGCCTGGATCCATTCGCCAACCGCCACAAAATGTCACAAGCCGCCTTCGCGGGGCAGCCGTCATGCTCTTGGGAGCCCTTCGGGTCTGCCTGACGATCAGACCACCACCTCTCCAAGACTGCTTCTCGAGCATCGCCGCTGTCATTCCCGGGAAAGAATCAGACGGCTCCTGACCTGTGGCAGGCGGGCTGACTGAACATTCCACCGAGGGTGCCAATTCCCCTTGTCCTCAGCAAGCCCCTTGTGCAACTCGTCGCACCGCGCATCTCTCCCTTCTGAATCATCAGGATACTCGTCTCACAATGCATAGACCATGCAATACCGTCTCCTCGAGCTCTGATGGCGATCCGTAAAGCCGAAAATAGTGGGCGCGGCAAAAAGCAAAAGTAATGATTTCGCCCGGGCTCGAACCGGGGACCACATGCGCTCACGATCGAACTGATTGTTAAGCATGTGTGATAACCAACTACACCACGAAACCAGGTGATTTGATGTTTTGTTTAGGCCTGGCAAAATTATATAGCCTTGGAGACACTCATCAGGCTGCAACGATGCTTTTGGGCGCTTGACCCGCAACATCAGCTAACCATAAGCATAGCGCAGCCATCGGAAATTGACTTGAGTCCGTTTTCTCATAAGTCGAGCTGCTCTTGGGGCAATGGTCAAAAGATCGGCGCGACGTGGTGACAGCGTCAATTCAGGTTGAACCGCATTCCGCCTCGTCCTTCGATTGATTCATGCTCAGCATATTATATTGCGCTTGATACTGATTTACCCATGGTCCCCTCGGGGGTACCCTTTTATTTTGTCCGTTTCCACGAGTAACTCCCTCTTCCACTAACACGTTCCCGTTTAATGCTCATAACCCCATCCGTCCAACCGGTTCTTCGTCTCCTGGTTGAGCTTGGCCAAGCAAGACATGACCCGACCCTCGTCATTCTTGGGGGCCAGCTTGTACCCGGCCCTCTCGAGGCTGACGCGGAACTCGTACGGGAAGTCGGTGATGAGACCGTCCACGCCGAGCTGGAGCAAGTACGAGAGGAGGTTCTTTCGGCTGTTCCTGTCAGCCAACCACCCCTTCTTCACCTCTCAAATCGGTCAACATACTTAGGAGTCCAAGGCTTGACCTGAAGTCCCAACGAGTGAGCAGTGTCGACCATGGTCTGGTTGGTGAACGCAATCCAGCCCTCCATGGCGGGATCGGCGACGGGCGAAGCGTACTGCTGTGAGTGGGAGGTTGGAGGAACAAACCACAAGCACTCACCGAAGTCGCAACGGGGGACAGGAAATCGGCCTTGATAGAGTGAGCGGCTCGAGCGACTCGCTCGCCGACCGTCTCGCCCTCGAACGAGTCGATGTCGATTCCAGCAAGCCAGTTGCTAGCTCCCACGCCGTGAGTCGTGAGGTTCCCGTCCTGACCCTCAGACAAGGGCTTGTACAGGGTCGTGTCGTCGCAGAGGGCCGAAGTTCGGAGCGAAGGGAAGTCTCTCTTGGAGATGATGAGAGCTCTCCACTGCCTATCAGTCCTTGTCCGACCATTAGCCGGGAGTCGTGGACACTCACGTCGAAAGACTGGTGGGTGATGCGGTCCACAACGTCCTCCCCCTGCGCCACGAAGATCGCCCCCATGGCGGCGACAAAGTCCTCTGGGCTTCGAGTGAGGTTCCTGAAATCTCCATCGACCTTGGATTCAATGTTGAACAAGACCGGCTCGTCCGTCGCGCACTTGACAAAGTCGAACATCTCCTGCAAAGTCGCGATCTCAGTCCCAGGGTAGACCTCTGGCCTTTAGCGCGTGTGTGTCTTATAATGGACTGACCTTGCAAGGGGAAGTCATTTTGACGGAGAGACCCGCAGTCGAGCGTCTTGATCTGAGCCAACGTCCTGGGGGGTTAGGTGACTGTCCGAATCAAAGTGTCGAGGCGGAGCTGGTTAAACCGTGTCGCAACGTACAAGTTGGCAATGTATTGACCGACGTAGGGGAACTGCTCGTCTCCCTCGAAAGCGGGCGCAGTGTCCCTGCACTTCTCAGGCGCGATGCTCTCGTCGTGCCAGACGACAACCTCGCCATCCTTGGTCAGACCGCCTGGAATGAGTCGTCGCCCAGCATAAGATCAACACAGGTGCAGCCACTCACAGTCCATCTCGAGCGTGGTCACGCCGTCAACAAGACCCCTCGCAAAGGAGGGAAGGGAGCTGTCGGTCAGTCTCGAGCTCGCCATTGACGACAGGGGAAATCCACTCCTCGACGGTCTCTCCACGTCCACCTCGATGCCCTTGGAGGTCAAAGTACTTTCCATACGCCCATCGACGGATCGGCGAGGCATTCGTGAGCGCCAACAAGGGCAAGAGAGCAGCCAGGGGAGCGATCATGTTGCGGTCTCCAGAGGATCTCGGATCACACGGAGAGTTCAAGGACGTGGGAGGGGGTGACGGATGGTCGGGGAGGGGTGGTCTACCCCATTATATCCTCCAGATAAGTCTACTTTTACCTCATGATTTGCTTGGCATTGCCATGTCCGCACGTGCGGGCGAGGGGGAAGGGGGGAGAAACGTGCAACAGAGATAGAGACATGACGTCGGCGGTTGGATTCCGGGGGTGCGAGAGCAATTAGCAATTTCTGGGGTTCCCGCGATC